ATCCAAGAAAATCCACGCCAACTACTCCCCTCCTTTCCATTCCTCTTCCCACACGCAGATTACTCTCTTTTATTGACCATGAAAAATCCAAAACATATCTAATAAGGCTATATAAGCCAACTATGAATATGCCATCTTTCATCCTATTGTACGTGTGTGTACATGTCATATAAAAGAACATATCATCAAATCACAGCATCATACAAATTCATAAAATCGTGAAAATAAATTTGAAATCATATAGAATTTCCATAAAATGGCATGAACTTGTTCCTAGCACCTCGAGTCCTCGTCGCGTTCACCTGTAAAATATAACTCAACGTGATGTTAGAATTAATTAATTATAATACCATAACACTATTCAAGTTAATTCCTAACTTCTATTTCTAGGAATTTTGTCAGTTAGAAAAATGGTTGTTACAAATACCCTTCCATTAGATTTTTTAGTGGACATTAACATTTAATTTGTTATTTTCAGTTGCCTGGTGTTATTAGTGCTAAGCAATGGATTAGGAGATCAGCGTCTAGAAATGCAAATTGAGAACGACATGCCGTTTTTTTTTTCTTGATAGGGATGACATTTTCGCAAAAACGACACAAAATTGTCCTGAACAAAACGACACACTGTTTTTTTGCTGACGGGGAAAAACAACGTCGTTTTTGAAAAAATGACACAAAACTGTTCCGAACAGAACGACACACCTTTTTTTACTGACGGAAAAAAACGACGTCATTTTTGCAAAAACGACACAAAACTTTCCCGAACAGAACGACGCACCTTTTTTTTACTGACGGACAAAAACGACGGCGTTTTTGCAAAAATGACACAACTTTCCCGAACAGAACGAGACGCCGTTTTTTTTTGCTAACGGGAGAAAACGACATTGTTTTCACAAAAACGACACAAAACTATCCCAAACAGAATGACACGCTGTTTTTTTTTACTGACAGGGAAAAGTAATTACTATCATTGTTGTATATTTTTTTTATTTAAAGTATTAATCATATCACTTTTAATTTTAATAAATCTTTTAGTCTTTAATCATAGAATTTTTTTTTTTTTTTTTTTTTTTAAAAAAACTCTTAAAAAAAGGCGTCCATGAGTAGGAAAAAAGATCGATGTCGTTCATTTTTTGGGGAGTCGTTTGAAGCCACGAGTCTAGCTCAAAAGGATGTTTGTTGGCTTGTTGCGCATTGGCTGAGATGAGTTTCAGTCACTTTGATTGTATACCATTTCTAACTTCTAAGAGGTGGTTGTTGGTTTTTACTATTTTATTTCATTTTGTTATAAAGTGTATATTGCCCTTCATTTACGTCTAAACTCTCAACCCTTCAATTAATCAATAATTAACTGATTAACTCCAGTTAATCAGTGATTAATCATATCTAGTTATTTGGGGTAAAATTGTTTTTATAATCATTGGAAGTTATATGTTTCGAACTTTTTTACAGAAATAGTATAATTGAATGACACTACCACATAAGTGGTAGTTTCCTAATTGACCTGATAAGTTTTGAATCTCGTTGTGATGTCTAAACCCATTCAAAATGTTTTTGGAGAACTTAGCCTCCATAAATTTTCGTTTGTTTAAACATGTTGCTACAGTAAAACTATGGCTCTACTCTCAATTCTCACACTAACTAAATAGAGAAAAAAATCAGAAATACTACTCAAGGTGGTAAAAAAAATTATCATTTTGCTAGTACTTCACTACAAAATAAACAATTGTCATTCAATTAATAAAGAAAAAATAAAAAGTAATGATGATACTCAATTATTTAGAATGACATAAAAATAATAGGACTATACAAAATCATGACAAACCATTTACTTTTCTTAACCAAACACCAGTTCAAAATTTATTTCTTGTTTCGATATTTTATTCCATATTCAAACTTTGCACTTCCAAACGACGATTTAAAGCACAGTTAGCCCCCACATAAATTAAGAACTTTTGGTTTAAACCTGAAAAATTCTAAATCATACTATTCAAACCTGCGAAATGAATAGAGCGCCTAGATCAGGATGGTCTACCCTCTTATAGACCCCACATAACTTAAGAACTTTTGGTTTAAACCTAAAAAATTCTAAATCATACTATTCGAATCTGCGAAATGAATAGAGCGCCTAGATCAAGATGGTCTACCCTCTTATGGACCAAGAATTGGTCTACCCTATTATTATTATTATTATTATTATTATTATTATTATTATTATTATCATCGTTGTTGTTATTGTTTTTTTTTTTTTTTTTTTGAGATCTTCGTGTATGACTTGTCTCATTAAGTTTATATTAGTGTGTTGATCCTCCACCCTCAAACCCGTATTGCCTTCTTTCTTGTGTGTTTGTGATAAATTAGTTTGGGTGATTGTTGTACAACAAAAGGAAGGGGAAAAGAGACTTTTTGCTGCAAAATTATACGTCTTTTGATCACTCATAGAAGTACAGCTTGACCCCGTTTCTTGGCATCTAGAACAGTGGAAAAAAAAAAAAAAAAATTTGGAGGGTTTTCTATGTCCAGTTAATTACTAATATCCAAATAGCTATATCAACCATAGACTTTTTAAAAAAAATTCAAAATATTACCGTCACTACTTGATAATAATAATAAAAAAAACATGTTTCTTCTACCATTTTGTTTCAATATTGTTTCGAGTATAACCTTAAAAATTCTGTGTCAAATGATCTTAAGATTTTGAGTTGAATGTGGGGAACAGTTGTATATATACTTTTACATCTAATTGACCAGAGTGCTTCTCAATATAAGAATATTAATATTGATAGGTTTTTTACTGAGCAAAAGAACTTGGCTTATACTTCTCCTGAATAAGTTTTTGTTTGATTACTAGACAATTTGAAAAAAAAAAAAAAAAAAAAAAAAAAAAAAAAAAAAAAAAACCTTAACAGCTCAACTAATCTTTTATAATTCCTCAGGTTTTACTGCCCATAGTATAATAAAATCTGTGAAAGCCATCAAGTTACAGATAGCTAATAAATATATAATTCATGTGCAAGAAAACAGGAGTAAACATCCAACAATGCTGAATCTTCACTTTCTTTACGAGTGTGATCTGATTTTGGCACACTCTTTTCCCTTTTTTTTTTTTTTTCTTTCACTTTCCCCTTAGTGTCTAATATATTTTTATTGTAAATGTACTGTATAAAAAAAATAAAGTTAGTTATAAATTTGTATACCCTCATTGAATTATCGACACTCCTTATATTACTGCGGCGCTCTTTGTACCAGCCTAGGCACTCTTAGTCGGCTGCAGGACGTCGTCAACAACTCCTTAGAGCTGCAGCGCTACTTTCCCAGCGTCTAAGCGCTGGATGTGCTGCCCAAATTGGGTGTTTTCTCTCCTTTGGGCACTGCAGTACCCAATTGTGGTGCCTAGGCGCTACAACTTTTTTGCAAAATCGTCTTCAAAAGCCTCTTTTTCAACGGATCGAGCTAAGAATTAAATTCGAAATATTCTAAATTTCTTCAAAGCCCCCAAATTTTCAAGTCCCACGCAACATGAGACCGCTCCAAGACACAAAGTAACTAAAACGTCGACCGAACCTACAAACAAAATATAAAAACACGCGTAAAGCTCACAAAAATCCCGACAACCAACTCTATATTAAGCTCAAATGATACTTAATTCGTGAGTAACTCATTCATCATATAGCTGAAAGAAAGGACAACTTAGGAGGCTTAAATTGTCTCCTATAAATAGGGGTTTGATAGTAGGAATTGTATATCCCCGCATTCTGCTAAACTACTCATTCTCTCTAGATTCTCTCTCTAAATCGCCTTCTTATCTCTCGTTTATTTTTCCGGACATTACTTTCTAGTTCTAGCATTCAATTGACTTGAGATCAAATCGGCCTGCGATTCCCGATTGACACCCGAAAGCAGTTATTGACTCTCTAAACAAATTTAGGCCTCGTTCATTTCACCGATTCGAGTTTTGTTACAGTAAAAAGCTCTAAAAAACAGTCATATCTAACTATTTTGCTACAGTAAAAAGCTCCCACATAAAGTCACATCTCAACTCGAATTAAAAACTCAAATCAACGAACTAAACAAATCTTTAATGTAAAATTCGCCCTTTTACATTATTCTTAATAGGTTTATTTAAGAAACCCTACTTCATTTCTCCCTTACCTTTTGTATCATTTTCAAAATTTTATTGTTTTATTTAGAAAAAAGATTAAATTGGGATTTTACATTTTTACCCTTCTATCCGGGGTCAGCTCATGAGTCAATGGAGGTAGACAACGGGGTCCTACTCCTATGTGTTCTCACTGTTGATGGCTGAGCTCGACTCAAATTTTGATCCAACGGCTATGTAGTCTCTAAGGTTCCTTGTGATAGAATCTTAGGAAACGTTTAGTTCATAGATTAGAATCATGAGATTAGAACTATTTTTGATTTACGTGTATTTTTTATGAGAGAAACACTGTAACAAATCATGAACTATGATTCGAATCGGGGTACGAATCCCCCAACCAAGAAATTTGAATTCACTTTACACTTTTAACGTTTCTCGCCTCTTTCTCTTCCCAATTCATCATGTCTGTCCCTTCATTCTCTCAATTTTCCCCTTTGATCTATCTTCTCCTCTGCCACTTTTCGACTCCTTTCCTCTATTCAGTAGGAATCTTTTTCTTTTTCTAAAGGACTGTGGAAATACGACAAATCTTTCCCATGAATACATAAACAACAACCTTTTTGTTCATTTTAACGCTGCTTCCCAATTCTAAGATACAAATTAATTCTCTCTGAAGTTTTTGAAGTCAGCAAGCTAAACTTTGTCATGGCTAACCTCGCCGGCTCTTCCTCTGTTCCTCCGGTAATACAAGCTATAACCGTTAAAAACTCGTTCATATATATATATATATATATATATATATATATGTCCCTTTCTTAATATCTAATAAGCTTTTATTAATCATATCCATCAGGAAAATACAGACACAGAGGAATTGATATATGAAGCTATATCAGATTGGGTGTCTTACCTTAACAAAGAAAAAGAATCATGTTGGATGGAGGTCCGAACTTCCTGCGATCACTTGGTGTCCCTTTCGTCTGATCTCATTCACATCCCCACACCAGATACTCCTTGCCAAGTGTAAGGCATTCTTACAAAATTTTTGCTACTATCACATTTACGCTTATGAACCATCTGTTTATTTCTTCTTTCATTAACCAATTTTTTATTTTTTATTTTTAAAGTTGTCAGGACCCAAATGACAATTGTCTCTGTTTAAGCTGCAAAGGGGTTTTCTGTAGCCGTTATGTTAACATGCACTTTCAAGACCATTATCGCAAGACACTTCACTGCTTAGCATTTCACTACAAGTACTATCTAATTGCCTATTTCTATAGAAGTTAGAACTCTCTCTCTTGTTTAGGTTCGAATTTATTTGTCTCATTTCCTAAATGTGGCGTTTGAAGAACAGAGATTTATCATTTTGGTGCAACTCCTGCAATGCTTATTTAGATGCGCAAGTGATGGAGCAACTTCGTCCTCTCTACATAAAGGCTTACATACAAAAATTCGGTGAGGCCCCCACCTTTTACTTTGAGGGCAGTTTCACACCCACCACCATGGCATTGGCAAATATATAACCAAAGAGATTTAATCCTTAACTTCAATAATAGATGCTTCAATGTTAGCCCTTTATATTTTCATCTGTTGTGTACGTACTTTGCTCATATTGAATTTCTATGTGTCTTTTCGAAATATCATGTTTTACCATGTCTTCAAAAATGCTATGAACTTTACATGTATTTTCTTTTTCATGTTAAAATTCTTCCAGGCATAGATTCCGAGAGTCAAATTTTTGGAAATGGTCATATTAGCATTCTGAACTTATTTCCAAACACTAGAAAGCAGACGCTGTAAACTTCCTTTTGTTTTATTAAAATAGTTTCTGACATTTAAATTTTCAATTGAAATTCCATAGCCCTAAAGGGTCCTTTAGCAGCGGCACGACAAAGAAAAATACAGACCGGCTCATCATGTTCCACGGTTCAATCCATTGAGAACAAAGAGGACAAAAGCTGTGTAATGAAGACGGTAGGTAGAGGTTAATTTTTGGCGTTTTATATTGAAGAGAGAAAAAGGAGATTGAATTTAATCTTCTAAATTAAACCCGTTTATGTGGTTTTTGTTTTTGGGTTGATTTATTTTTAGTCCCTAAACAATATGATAAATCCTATTTTAGTCTCCGTTTTGATTGTCATTGGGCGAGTCCTCCATCTATCAAGCTGTAACAAATTAGTCCTCATGTTCATCTGACTATTAAAATCTTGACTGAAAAAGGGTACCATTTGTGGTTTAGTACGAGTTAATTTTGTAATTTTACATGTTAGGGCACAACTAACAGTCGGATGGATAAGAGGTATGAGTTTGGACATTTTGGTAGATTAGAGACTCATTTTTAAGTGTTCTAAGGTCAGGATCAAAATGAGATTTTTGCCTATAACTCAGGAACTAAAAGTGAATATGACCTTGAAGATTGTGATTTTATTTTCTTGAATGTTCCTTTTGGTAGATTCATCTGATATTACTTTGCTGAAGATTTTTTTTTAATCTATTTTTATGTTTTAGAATCCATCTCAAACCAACAACTCCTGCAACGGAGAAATAACATTTTTGAATCGGAAATGTAAATGCGGGGAGAAGAATCCAAATAAACTTATCTATTGCTGCCCAAAAAACGGGGATGGTTGCAGTTTTTTTTCATGTTGCGAACGAGATGATCCAGCATGCACTATTGTTGGTGGCTCATCTTCGAATCGAGAAATTGGTTCGAATTTTAAGAATGCTGCCGCTCAAGTTCCTTATATTGGTGCTTCAACATCAAACCCGGGGATTCTTGAACGGATCGTGGCTTTGGAAGCAAACGTTGCTGCTGGAAAAATGCTTGTTTTGTTCAATTTCTTGGTTGTGTTTCTGTGCTTATTTCTTATATATGGTCTGTATAATGGTTAAAATTTAAGTGGTTGTATTCATCTATCTATGCTAAGTTGTTGGGATAATGTTCTATTTTTTTTTTTTTAATATTATTTTAGTATGGATGTTAAAAAATGTTGAAAAACACGGATTTCCTATACTAGGAAATATTGTATTATATGATAAAGATTATACACCTAGGAAATATTGTATTACTAACTTGTATCATGATTTGTAGTCTATACTAGGATAGCTTTTGTTTATTGAAAATTTCTCGGATAGTCCTTGAAAAAGTGGACTACCGGTGGTCCTCAATTTTTCAGCGGTTAGATACGCATTAGAATTTGTCTGTTATACATACTTTTTAAATCTAATGTGATTGTAATTAAATCCAACAGTCCAAAACTAAAACTACCAGTAGACTGGCTTACCGGAGAAGGTCGATCCATTCTTTCTTCTTTTGTTGCTTATTATGTGTATAGTCCTAAGGTTGTTCCTCTATTATTTGAATGAGTTATTTATCTTTTTACATCCTATATTTTATTTTTATCTAGAAATATACCATCAATTTTTAATCTCATAAAAATTATACCTTTGGTTTAAAGACTAAATTGCCAAACAAGCATAGTTCAAAATTCTTTTTTAAAAAGTGAAAGATAATAAATAAAGAAAAGTAAAGTGCCATTTATAAGCGACAACCTCTAGACAAATATACAGTTAAAAAAGGGCACAAAAAGGTGAAGCGCTAAAAAAGTGGAGTTGAGTCACTATGGTAGAGAAATAGAGCAAAAAAAAAAGGAAGCCATGGAACGGATTGGACTAGGGCCGGCAATTTCGGACACGACACGATGAAACGAAACGAAAATGATATGATATAAATGAGTTTAGACCGCACGATTATTAATTAGGTCGTTAACGGGCTGGCACGAATAACACGAAAATAAACGGGTTGGATTCGTGTTAGCCCGTTTAACACGCTTAACCCGTTTAGTTATACGGGCCATAATCGGGCCGACACGACACGACCCGAACCGACCCGTTTATTAATCTATATATATATATATATATATTTATATATATACTTTTTTAAAGATAAAACCCTAGCTTCTCTAATTCTCTTTCTCTCATTCTCTCATTCT